TTGTGGGGTGAGGGGTGGACACCATCAGCAGGGGAGGGGGGAGCCTGGCCATCCTTGTGGGGTGAGGGGTGGACACCATCAGCAAGGGAGGGGGGAGCCTGGCCATCATTGTGGGGTGAGGGGTGGACACCATCAGCAGGGGAGGGGTAACCTGGCCACCATCATGGGCGAGCAGAGCTGAGGTCAGCCTGGAAGGTGGTCTGGTGGGGACAGTTCCACCTGGACCTTCATCCATACCATGAGCTCCTCTCTGCTTGGCCTGAGAGCCCCCACATCTGCTCATGAGACACGGCCCTGCCTGTGGCCCCAGAGCACTCTGCTTGCACAGAGCCTGAACTTGAGGTAGTGCTTGGAGGGGCTGCACAGCTCAGAGGAGGACAGGTCCACCGCTCTCCATAGAGCTTCCCAGGCACCTGCTCACGCACTGAAGGGTTGTCAGGGGAGCCAGCATTGATCAAATCTGTCAGCACCAGTATTCCAACTTATCTTACTTCATTTTTCTGGACCACATCTTGGTCATTTTCACAAAATCTCAGACTTTCCCACAATCCTGCTGCAGGTTAACTGACCACAGTGGTCAGTAAGCCCTGGTAGACAAAGACTGTATGACTTGCTCTGGAGTGATGGTCTGGAGTGGAGCCCAGTCTCCTCGACCTGCCAGGAGCTGGCGTGTGTAGATGCCAATGGGTGGTTCCAACAGAACAAGTGACCTCAAGCAAGAGCACAAGATGCTGCCGTACCCTGTGCCATCCCCCCGGCCGCTGCCTGGGCCCATCGCTGCAGCCACTGCGTCCACCGCCTTATTGAGGGTCTTACTCTCGTTTTTCTAAGCACGATGTCCAGAGGCCTGTGGTGCTTAAGTGGTGCACTGCCAACTCAAAGGTACACGGTTCGAATCCGCCAGCTGCTCCTGGGAGAACGATGGGCAATCTCCTCCACACTATTTACTGCCTCCGAAAACCTGCTGGAGGTCCGACAATGAGCAGACGGACTCTCAGCCTCATGTCTAGGACCATTCTGGCTGCAGTCCTTCCAAGTTGTGCACCATCAAATTGGAACTAACCTGCAGCTGAAACCCTTTGGCAGGTTTTCAGAGGCGATGAATTGCACAGTAAGAGATCACCTATCTTTCTCCTGTGGAGCAGCTGGTGGGTCCAAATCACGTGCATTTAGGATTGCAGCACAGCTTCTTGCCAGTAGGCCACCAGAGTTCCTTTCTTCCAATATACACTTATTAATTCCTTTTTTTAAAAAATGAAAGTTCATAAAGAACTTGGGTTTCCAGTCATTTATTTTTGCACATTTTCCTCCCAGCCCTCCCTCCAGCCCAGATCGCTGTTTTCTTTGGGAACAAAGTTCTTTCATTGTTATACAGTCCGTCCCTGCCTCAGACCACTTTACTATGCAGCTCTGGACTCTTGTCATGCCAATAATACCTAATCATTTATTCCTTTTATACAGTTCTCTCCCTCGTCTGTTTCAATGCCGTGTAGATTATCCCTTCTTTTCTTAGTTTTCCCTCAGCCCCCATGTCAGTCCCATTTTATAACAGTGGCATTATGCCATATCTGTCTTTTTGTGACTGAGATACTTCACTCAGCACAATGTCCTCCAGGGTCACCCATTTTGAATAATATTGCATGAGTTCCTTGTTTTTCAATGCAGCATAGTATTCCATTGTGTGAATGTACCACAGCTTCTCTATCCATTCGATTGTTGATGGGCACTTGGGTTGTTTCCAACTCTTTGCTATTGTGAACAAAGCCATGATAAACATGGGTGTGCATATATCTATTTGGGTGGCAGTTATGGTCTCTTTAGGGTATATTCCCAGTAGTGGAATTGCTGGGTCAAATGGATTCTTGAAGTAAAACATGATCCATTCAATAGTCTCCACCATAATTCAAGGGTTTTTAATTCTCTGCTGCTGTTATGTGCCATCGAGTCAGAACCGACACAGATGACTCTCCCCAGCAGGTTTTCAGAGGCTTTCAATTTCATGGGAGAAGAATGCCCGCCCACAGAGCAACGATGAACTCTAACGGTGTGGCTTCAGGTTGGCAGCACAATTTTTCTTGGTTGTTATGTGTCACTGAGTCACCTGTGACCCACAGCGGCCCTATGTACAATAGCTGGGCCCTATCCTGAGCTGTCTCACTGTCTCTGACACCACTCTCCCATTACCCCTACTTACTGTGCCTATCTATCTTATCAGGGGTCTTCCTCTCCTGCACTTCCCCTCCCTTCTGAGCATGATGTCCTTCTCCAAGGACTGGTCCCCCCCGGCTATGTGCCCAAAGTATATCATACAGAGCTTCAAAATCCTTGAATCCAGGGAGCAACTTGGTTTCACCCTCTCTAGGATATGCATGTTTGTTCTCATGGCAGTCCATCTTCTCCAGCACCACAACTCAAAGGAATCTACTCTTCTTCTGTCATCCTTAGTAATCAACCATCTCTCTGATGCCTAGCATGTAATTGCAAAGACCATGGCCTGGATCACGCGTGCCTTAGTCTCTAGGCTGACATCATTGCTTTTCAGCACTCTGGAGAGGACCTCTCTAGAGAGGCCCCTGAGAGTAGACTTTCTCAATACAATTAATCTTTTGATTTCCATACTGCTGATGCCATGAGCACTGACTGTGAGGCTGAGCAAGCTGAAATTGTAAACAACCTCAAGCTCTTCTCATCTATCCTGGTGCTGCCAATTGGCCCTGTGATAAGAAGCTTTTTCTTCTTGATGTTGGGCTACAACCCATATTGGAGACTTTAGTCCTTGACCTTCTGCAGCAAATGCTTCAGTCCTTTAGTTTCAACAACCAAGGTTGTGCCATCTGCATAGCACAGGCTGTTGATGAGTCTTCCTCCAATCCTGATGCCACCCTCGTCATAATTCTTTTCTAGTCTTTCTTATTTATTGTCCAACTTCCACAAGCATATAAAGTGACTGGAGATAGCATGACATCAGTCAGGCACCCCTTAAAGAATGGCCACAGAGCTCCCTAAAAGGTTCCAGACAGCAGACTTGCCAATATCTCTTTTGATTTCTTCGTAGCTGCTACCATAGATGTTGCTGAAACCTTCGACAATTTTTATCTTTTCTCTATTTGTCACAATGCTGTTTTATTGACCCTGTTGTGAGAATTTTCTTTTCTTTATTTTGAAGTGTAGCCCCACATTGAAAAAAGTCTTTGGGTCTTTTTTTTTTTCACCAAACAAAATTGTGTCACCTGCATATTACGCTTACCTCCAGTCCTGATGCCATGAGCTTCTTTGTATGGTCCGGCTTCTTAGTTAATTTGCTCAGCATTCAGACTGAATGTGCGTGGTTAAATGATACAACCCTGATGCACGCCTTTCCGGACTGTCATGCAGTGGCCTGTTCCCTTGTTTGAATCACTGCATCTTGATCCATGCACAGGCACCGCATGAGCGCAATCAAATGTTCTGGAATTCCCATCCTTCTGAATGTGACCGATAATTTATTATGACCCACAGAGTCAAATGCCATTGCACAGTCAATAAAGCACAAGAGTCATCTGCTATCAGCAATAACAGCTCCTGTTTCATGGTCTCTCCGGATCTTGCTTTGATCCACCAGTTCCTTGTCAATATATCGCTCCTACCTCTTTTTTTTACCATTTTATAACTTTATTTGATAATCAGCTATTTGTTTTCATTCACATTGAAGGCCAGTAGATTTTTTTAAGTGGTGACAGGTACATAGGTAACTAGTGTTCACATTTGGGGTATCTTCATCTTCATTCTATTTTCTGGACAACCGTACATGGACGCGGAATGGGACATTCCTTATCCCTTTAGCCCAGAAGGCTTTGTGAAGCCTGGTGTCATGCAAACATTTGGTGTTCCCATCTCCTTCATGGCAAATTTCCACATCTCCTTGAGTGCCGAGGGGCATGCTATCCCACTCCACAGATGCGCTTGCACATGTTGATGGCAGACTCTGTGGTCCCACGTCATTGATGGCAGAATGACCCGTCTTCTCACCACTCTTCTTTGTAGGGCCCTAGTGCCAGGACCAGGCTGGAAAGGCTTCTAACATTTTTTAAATTATCTTTGCAAGATTTTACTCATGCATGATATCAAATATAATTTCAATACAATTCTTTCCACGTGCTTGCTGGCTCACCTTTGGTTGGAATGGGCACAAATGTGGATCTTTTCCAGTAGATGCCTTCTTGACATAGACCACTAAGTGTTTCCAGTACTGCATTCATTTGCTGAAACATCTCAGTTGGTATTCTGTAAGCAACTGGAGCCTTGTTTTTTTTTCTTTTTTAAAACAATACTTTCAAACAGAGGAGGACCTGAAGCTTTTGGTGTAGAAGGTCAAGGACTGTAGTCTTCA